GTAGGTTTCAGATTAAACACATGTTGAGACAGGACATAAGACGTTATTAAATATTTACTCAAATCATAACGACTGTATCATTTAAAAATACAGTATTTTAAAATTAACCATAGGCTTAATATCGACAGTATCGTCAAACAAAAAACACATATTGTAATAATTATAACTTGTTAAAGTCTTGCTGCCGGTTGCCCAAGAATTCACTATCCTAAAATGTTAACTTATTCTTCTTCTTTAAGTTGAATTGTCAAATAATACTTTCTTAAATTTACAGGTAATTTACGAGGTTTATCTAAAAACGAACCAATGAAATAATGATAACGTAGAATTACTTAATCCTTAAATAAATTCTATACGTCAACTGATGTACTTGTAAGAGTATTCTATCCTATACTTTAATATGAGCTATGTGTGTTTGTCTGTCTGTCTGTCTGTTTGTATGTATTTCTGTCTATAAGTCTGTCTGTCTGTAATATATAATATCCGCTGGAGGAAGGAGATAAACAGAATTTTGGAATGAGGGACTTATAAAGTCAAAACTTTGATATGCAATGAGAACTGTCAAAGTAGGATTGTATACAGTTATGTTTATGTTTTTAATTTTACGAATAATTTGTGATATTTTGTGAATTGTTAATAATCCATCTTTCTCTATTGTGTAGGTGAAGTGGTAGAACATTATGGCTATGATAGATGTGTAATACTATAGCATACCGTAAATTTGAGGAAGCAAAATTTCTCAAACCGTGTCTTCTCTCATTGCAAACGCAAAGATCGAGTATAGCTGCAATAAGCATTTTATACTTAGTTGCCAACCCCGTACGAAGGACGGGTGCTCTTCTCGTATAGCCATAAAAAAGTGATTGGTGACAGCCACTACCTCAGGAAAGTTCGTATTTCGCTACACAACTCATTTGAAAATTAACAATGTTTTTTGTTTTTTCATTAGGTGTATAAATATATAAGTTTTTAGGCGTACCTACCACCACGTGAGCACGTACAGCTGTCCATGTGAAAAGCATGCATTTTATAAATTTAAACCGACGAAATAGTCAGGGATTGCCCTAGTGCCTAGTGCCTTGGCGATTGCGAAAGCAAGACACAAAGGAAATTGTAGTTGCTTAAATTCAATTGTAAAATTGTAATTAATTTTCTTCGTCCTAACCAGTGAATTACCAGACTCTATTGAAGTCATCTACTTATATTTACTATTCAGTTGGTGGATTAGTATTATTGGAGTGCCTTCTTTTAATGACAGTAATGTGGTGGGTTAATGATAAATTGAGAGGCATTTGAATACCTAAGATAGCACGCACGATTATTATTCACTTAATAATTTATGTTAGATTGTGTGGGTATAGAACAAAAGATAAAAATACTAAGGTATTGCCATCCCTTTTATTGTTGACTAAATTATGTAACCCGCTGCAGGTTTTGACAATAATAAACATCATTGCATGGCGAAACATACTTTAACATGAGTTAAAGTATGTTAGGCCCAAAGGGAATTCATTATCCGTATCCAGTAGTCACGTTTACTGAATGCTTTGTTATTCTTACTCTAGCTTTGCCCCTTGATCCTTTGGCCTTTGATGTCATCTATCTCCAGGTTGTTTAATGTTTTAGAACATCCCTTGCTATTACTATTCAACTTAAGAAAATATATTGTGTAGAAAGGCTTAAAACATCATGGGGATCTTGCAGATGCAGCATAGTTTTTAACATGTTAACATGTTAAAATGTGAAAATTAAGTTTTTTCAATTTGAGTGATTGAGAACGTTTTTATGGCATGAAAACATAGTTTTCTTATTATTTAAAGGCAACTGTCAAAAAACGTCTAAAACAGATGTAGATATTATTAGTAGGTATAAGATTCCATCCAGTGATGGCATTCTTTTGTTTTTGACCAATAATACAGTTTCTGTTCTAATTTTCCGAAGACAACATTCATCGAAAAAGAATAAATGAATATAGCCCTCTAAGTTTGCATTAGTGTAAAACTACTTGAATAAGCTATAAACAAAATTACCTTGAAAAGTACCTTACTATGTGAAAGCCGCTTAAAACAATCGTAAACTGGCTTTAGTAACCCTTCTGTTTCAAACAACATTAAGCTTCTCTTGTATCTTAGTGAGCTTTTTAGTTTTTGGGTTGTTTGAATTTTGTTATTAACTGAAACAATAATTTTGTCGTTCATACTGTACCTCCTTTTAGATTTACCATCCTTTGAAGTTAACTTAGATAATTTTTACATACATTTATGCTGTTATGCATGTAGACTGGATTTACATTAATAAACATATAGTAAGCATCAATACCAGTCAGTTTTTATGTTTAGCTAACTTTAAAACGTGTTGGAAAAAATTAAACTATCTATTTGCAAAACGTTTCTATTTGTCACACAATAGATTAATTCACACCCTGAGATATACAGAGTGAGGCAGTGAGAGCCTCCCGATAACAATGAATGAACAGCTGTGCTTAAAACATTAATTGTGCCATTTTAGTAAACACTCGGCGAACCCCGTCAAAATCGACGGTTGCTTTAAAGGCTTACGCCAATTCATCTAACTGTGATAAATAGAGTGAAATTATAAAAAAAATTTAGCATTTAGCATTATTTTATGAGTAATAAATAAGAGGAAAAACAATAATGTCTATTGTGTTAGTTACAAAATATGGTTGATCATTCAATGAATAACATATTTCTTATACAGTACGTCATAGGAGTTACTGTTACTTTACTATGTTAACTAGTTTATCTTATTTTGAAGGAATATATGAAGAATACTTTTAGAGGAACCTTTAGATAGTATTAAAATCGTATTAGTGGATCTTTTTTTGATAAACACATCAACGATATCATCAGTGAAGCAGATTAAATCTGTTTTTTTTTATATCTGTTGAGAAGGCACCCTACAATGAATAACCCTCTAGCATAATTTTAATAAATTGGTCGCTGGGTTACTGTTAAATCTGGAATTGCATGACATGCGGATGTCAGTTGTTTCAATCTTATCAATTACATAAAGTTTTTAATATGATCTTTTTTTTAAAAAAAAAAGAGGTAGGCGGCCTCTTTTAACCTTGCATTTGCCCGTCCACATAGACTAAGCGCCCGTGCGTGGATCGTTAACAGCAAAGCAAGGAGTGAGCCAGTACAGTACAAAGGTGAACTGTACTGATAAAATGTTATCGGCAGTGACCAGGATCCGAACCCACGACATCGCTGCCTTGGGCCCGAAGTCTGCGACGCTACCGACTGAGCCACCAACTCACTAACCGATCTCTCTTTTGAATGTTAGGTGTAGTGGAATATAATTGTAGTGAACCTGGCTTTTGTTCTTGAACTGTTAGGGGCCTCGATTATACGAGGCTCGTGTGTTCGTGCGGCTTCATTGGCAACAAATAATGCAAATGACAAAGCGATGCTGCATTTCCAAAAAGCAAATACTGTGTGTTTGTCACATTATAAGGAAAGCAACAATGAATGAACAGCTGTGCTTATATTATTATTATGGCACCTGAGGGATTAGGAGACCCCATGGAAACCCTTGGAGTCTCCTAATCCCTCAGGTGCCACGGCTGTTTGAACCGGGTATAGTGTTATTGCTTAGCTTGTTTAGTGTCAGACGTCCCATAAGAAAATATGGCAGACAGGAGACAGGTGACATAAAGCTCATTAATTCGCACTTTATTGATTTAAATTTATAAACATAAATTTATTAAAATATCGAAAATAAAACATACAGAATTGAAAACTAAAACAATATGAGTGGAGAATTCATATCTGTACATTTAATGCGGAATCAATATTTTCATAGCCCGGTAACTAAGTTTTTGTAAATAAACAATAGTTATTTGTGCAACTAGTGAGAAAAGTGAGCAATTGACTCACTCGAGAGAAATCCTTACTGAGGAATGGTTTCTCGAGTGAGGCAATTGTACTTTGAACTCGAGTTGCACATTATACTTATCCTACAGTTACCATAAAACAAATAAATTGGTGAAGAAACATAACCTAGTTTTACACAGAAGTGAACTTTTAATATAACATTTAAATGTGAATTGTGAAGTGACAGACAGTACAACAGCTGACCAGCTGATTTACAGCCAGTGCTGCCAACGTATTTCGCGCGTATACGACGTTGCCTGCTTGTTACTCGCTCACTATTTCGTGCCTTCTCGTTACAAATCTGGAGTGAGACAAAGTAATTAGAGTGAGACAATGTTAACATAGTCTCAGAATTGGCCACACTTTGCTTTCTCAAATCAGTGAGAGAACATGTACATTGTTAGGTAACTGTAGGACAATACTATTAGCTGCTTCCAAACAAAACAGCTGTTACAACCCTATGCCACTTAGAAAAAAGGCAGCGGCTGGAGTTAAAGGCGGCCGTGGTATATAGACTATGAGACCTACAGTAATAGCATAGACTAACCAACTCTGTTGATAAACCATTAATTCGTGTGGCCAACTGGCCAAGAAAGCTATACTTTGTAGATTAACCTAGAACCCATACCCATTAGGAATTAAATTGTTCAACAAATTGCCTTTGGAACTTCAAAGTATTTCTGACTATGCATTTAACCAACAGTAAAAAATTATATGTTTTGCTTCAAAGTAGGCCTTTAAACCACATTAATGGTTTTTTTTATTTATAGATAAGAGGCTGCGATTTTTAAAGTAGTGTAGAGATTATTAATTTTATGTATCCGTGTATTTATTACTACCTATTGATTTTTAACTATTGTTTTAACTTGACGAAGTCTATTGTAACTATAGTGTAATTACTGAATGGCCAATAAATCTATTCTATTCTACTTGAGTATGTCCAAGTCATAGCCATTGACTATGACTATACATTCAGCGTGTGTATATAATCGACGCTCTTAGTGCAGTTTATTTGTGATTTGATATTTTCAACATAAACATTACCTGACAACACAGCTGATTACACTACATTTTGTTGATTTTACCTTTTAAGGTTATGTTTTGCTGTTAGTAAATATGTCAGGAGTAAACATTTAGTTAATTGTTCTTACTATTGTTTAATAATCTAATAACCTAGTAAAAATCTTGAATTGTTTTTCAGTAACACATTTCTATAAATCAGGAATCATACTTAAAATCTGAAATGGGTAAAAAACATCAGAACAAACTTAGTTCTAAGGTTTCAGTACATAACCCAGTTAAGGAAATTCAAGGACAGGATAAAAAGAAAATTAATTTTAAACTTTCCCCTCAAAAAAGGAATGAAGTTAATCAGTTAGTAGACAAACTCCTGAAAGGTGAGTTTAATTTGCTGTCAACATTAGGCCTAAGCCCCTTCAGAACTGGGTTGGTTCAGAACGGGTTGGTGGCTATATAACCCGCCCTTTATTGCAAGAACTAAAGCCAATTAATTTACATTTCTCTATGCCCAAATAAATGACATAACAATCGAAAATAATTAGCACATCTATATGAGGAACCAACCAATTATTGTTGATGTTGGATGTTCCAAAACCACAACACACTGTTCAAGAATTTTCTACACTGTAGAAGAATTTTAAGACGCTAAGATTGATTGTATTATAGACTGACTGTGATGTATTTTTGCAGTGACAATGCCTATTGTAACGTTCTGTTATTTAATGGCAAAAAAATATTCTTTATTCTTAACACAGGCTAGGGCCTAACTTATGTGAAAAAACAAATACTTAGCCCTATACTTACAATACAATTCATTTTGATAGCCCCAGGCTGGCGTTTTATGGCAAATAACTTAATGGCCAAACGTACATCGTCAGACAATCCTTAAAATGTAGGCTAGTTTTGAAATTTACTACATAAGTTATGTTTTGGCTTGGTGTAGCCCAGAGGGAAAGGACAGAACATGCGGCAAAACAAATTACACAACAAAATCTGTCAGTTGAGTGATCTTAAATTGAGGATTCACAAAAATCTGCACGTATCTTGACATGGCGAGTTGTTTTGCCTCGAGTCGTTTCCTGTTGCAGCCTGCCCTTTTCCTTTTCTTGTCCTCTCCAAGTCCTTTCCTGTGTAGTGTAAGTTAGCTCAAGCTTACACATTTTAGTTTGTAACAAATTAAATGTTGCTGTTTTAAATTTGTTAAATGTGTTTCAGTGTCAACTACAGTTCAACCAACCACAGCAACAAACATTGCCAAAGATTTGGAAGTTCATTTAGAAATTGAAAAGATTTTAAATAAAATCAATACAATAGAAAGTGGTAAGTAAGCCTATAGGCTATTTTGTTTTTGTGAATGACAGTAAGTAGGCCTGTTCTTTTTAAGCTTATTTTAAAACTTCTGATCAGTGTCTTGCTGGACACAAATAGAACTGAAGGCCTTTTTTTATGTTAACTGAAAACCAATTTTACAAAGAAATCTACAGAATAACTTGTACCAATAATAAAGATACCTGCCTACATTAACCCTTTAATTAATCTCATATTTACGTTATACAAAACTGCTGTTGCTAACAACAAAATACAGTGAGTCAGTTCCACACTATTCTTGGAAATCTATGTCTTTAGATGAGATGGATTACAGCCAAAACTTGTTCAAAAACCATTTATTTGGTAGTATTGAGGATTTCAACAATGGGAAACAGTAGATAGATGTGCTATACTGTGTTCACAATAGGCAGTTTGAAGGTAAGCTCCCCAATATTTTGTTCCGCTTAATGTATGTTGCAGCTGATTTACGTTTTGATAAATCTCAACTGTTGAGCTATGTTTTAATGGTAGGATCAAGACATTGAGGGAATTTATTTCTTCCGCTAAAACCGCCAAAATGTTGTGAACGCAGTATAATATTACTAAATGGTTTAAATCTGAAGCTAAATATAAATGCAGAATGAGTTTAGAATAGAGTGTGATGATTAAGTTACAATTGTGTATAATCAGCTGCATCTATTGTCAGGACCTATTAATATTTAAGCCCAATAATAAAGCACAGCTGGGCTTAGTCAAGGCCACACTAAAAAAACAGGCCGTAATGCTAGCCAAGCATGACGTCACGATAGACGTATAAGTACTTATTTATTTATTTTCCAATGAAAGATTAAAACAAGCAGCTGATCACAAACGGCAAAATTACGTCATTGCCGTCTTCTATCGTGACGTCATGCTGGAGGCCTTGGCTTAGTTCAAAATAATTAAAAATTCACTGACTTTTTCCAGAGAACTACCTGAAAACCTGAACACTAGGTAACTACTACCAGGTGAATACTACGTTAACCACTTATCTGCCCCATACAGCTACATTTTCTTCATTCAGCCCGCTGTTTTATTTGACCCAGAGAATGTTAATCATGTTATGTAGAGATTTGATACTGTACTGGGTTCACAAAATGTAGGCGGTTTTAGGGGAAGAAATCTATCCCCTCCACTTGATCCTTCCTTTAAAACAAGAGTTTTTTTAACAGCTGAGGTTTGCCAAAACGCCAATCAGCTGCAATATATACCTCAAACCGCCTAAATGTTGTGAACAGACTATAACACTATGTTGAGTAGAGATGATAAAATTTATAATATACTTGTGTGAATTATCTCTAGAGCTGAAACTCCCTCTACCTAATCGCACAGTCGAGAACCAGGAAGGTCTTTTGACTTGGTTGGAAAACCACGATGCTGAAGTTCAAGGTGTTGGCATCACTGAGTTTCCTGGCCACGGTCTCGGGTTGGTCGCACTGCGAGATGTATCAGAGGGGGAAGTTATTGTTGCTGTACCTCGGAAACTGATGATAACTGCAGAGTCTGTACAAGCCTCGAAACTAGGTAGGTTGCTGCAGTAGTTTGCATTGTCCTTAGAGTTTGTTTAGGGGAACTTGTCTCATTATTAAACCAGGCTTCAGCCCTGGATTGTTTTTACATTACCTTAGAGGTTGCGGCATATAACTTAGATAAAATTCATTGGTATTTGGACCAGACCAGCGACCACTAGATCAGCTTATTCCTAATGCTAGTAGTTTGTGATTGAGAGGTTTTCTAATAAGGAGAAGGCCTATCACCAATTGATTTTACTTTAGTGATAATGCCGTGACCCCCTATGGACATGAAGTAATGTGGAAAACATCGTCGCACTAAAACTTAGAGTGAAAAATAAATAAATAAAATTAAAGAATAAAAAAGGAGATACTGTTCATTACAAAAAATGTTATGATAAACACACACCAACTCACTTGAAGAGAACTGGGTTAACTAACACATCAAGACCTGTAGAGATTTATGTAAAAAAAATGCTGTCAGTTGTGCTGAAAAAAAAATCACCCATATGGAAACCACAGCAACAGCATATTTAAGGGCTGTCCCATTAGACCTACAACTAATTGTAACTAACCATAAAGTGTATGAATGTTGGCATCAATACCCTGTATCAACTCTGTATTATTGTATTTTTATATTTCATTGAACCTCAGATTATGTCTTATATTTTTTAGGTATTCATTGAATATGTTACGCATACAATTGTATGAAAACAACTTCACTTGTCCATGCATGTAAAAATGTAAAAATGACAAATAAACGTCTTATGTCTTATGTCTTATGTCTTAATAATTGTTGACGTCGCTCCAGTGAGTTCAGACCACGCGTCACTAGTTCTGTGTCTGCGGTGAAGGAATTTTTTAACATGTCGGTACAGAACGTGAGAACTAAAAGCTTAAGTTTTTTTAAGACATCCAATAAATATCTTTCAGTTTATCCCAGTAATAATCAACATTTTGGGACATGGTTTTTTCCTTATATTAATGACTCAAATCTATATCTTAATTTCAATTTAAAATTTTGTACAAAATCTTTTTTTTTAGTTTGCTAACATCTAGGCCTAATTTATTTTCCACTTTGATAATTTTTCTTTTTTCTTTGTATAGCTTTTTTGCCTTATTTTTGTAAGCAATAGAAAATTGTCTATTAATACTTCTGTGTCTTTTATCAATCAAAATGTGATCCATTAGATTTCTAGTCTTTCCATCTGGTGATACCCATCTTTCTTTATAGATGTTTTTAGTTCTAGAGAATAAGGTGCTTGCAATTAATTGTAAAATTTGTGGCTAAGGGGCCTAGTTTCATTGTCGTTACAGTTACAGCTCGTGACATCTAAGCTGGCACTTGGCCTAGCGTGGGCAGTGTAGGCGGGAGGAGGGTGGAGGTAGGGAAAAGACCGGACTGCAAACATTTCCGCTGCCTCACGGGGTTTACACCCCTTGCATTATGTACTTGAGCGCCTTCATATGGGTCGCAACGACAGTTGATGCAACCCGCATGACGGGACATAATGTTTTTTAAATAGGTACTTGTAGCGATCGGCCAAGTGCCAGCTTAAATGTCACGAGCTGTACCATGCAAACTCTCTTTCCACAATAGTCCTTCCATATATTCTCAGCCAACTTTGGCGTTAGCATCTCCTATTTTTTACATTATAGTTAGGAGTTTGACTAACTAACTGTTATAATTGATTATTAAAATCATCTTTCTCGTCATAAATCTCATCACAGATAGGTTTTTAAAGGATTATCCTTTTATAAATTATAAAAGGATAAAAAATAAATTATCCTTTTTTTAATTTTTTTTTGACTAGAGTATCTACAATACTTTTATTGATGGCAAATTCCACTCCTGCTTGATGTTTACAATCATATCTACCACTATAAGGTAAAGTCTCCTGCATTAATGATTCCTTTGGCCACCTAATGTCTTGCAGGGCTACTACATCCATTTTGTACTTTTCTAGTTCCCTCCTAACAATGTCCACAGTATCTGGCACCGCTAGCGAGCAAACGTTCCAGCTTCAAATCTCAAGTTCTTATGACACAGCTAAGGTCGTTGTCCAATGTTATCCATCCTGTCCGAGGCATTCCCTAGGTGATACATAACCAGAGTTGTTTCACAAGGGAGGGTGGTTAGCCCATAACCTCAACCCCCAATATGAATGGAGGACCGCACCTACTTCTGGTCAGCGGGTCCATCGGACCTAGCCGGGAGGACTGACAAGCAGATCCACCGACCTTCCCCCTATCCGCCACCCAGGGGACGCTCCGTATACGCTGAAGTAGGAAAGCGCACGGATACTTTATTACCAGAAACATAAAATACTAACACTAGGTACAAAAGATACTTAATACTAGATACAGAGCATACTTAATACTAACAAGTTGGTTGTAACTTATACTTTTGTAATCCTCTTCAGGACTTGTGCTTGTTTTCGGCCCCACTTGTCTTCAATCAGCTCACAGTGTTGTTGCAGAACTCTTCAGTTTAATCCTCTTTAAGTTTCTCAGAAATGCGATCTCCTCATCCATAGTTGAATTCATCTCCTTCTTTCATCATGTTTCTCAAACATTTTTCCATGACAAATCCTTTGTTACTTTACTCTAAACAATCCTTTTAACTTTGTGGATCCTTTTTGTTTTACTGAAGTAATACAACATTAGACCTACCATACGTGTAGTTCTATAACCTACCATTTTCCTCAGGAGTTGCTACTTGGTTACTTACTATAATGATACTCTGATAGTTCTTACGTAGCAATAGTGGCAAGAACGGAATAATTCTGCCAAGTTTTCGCTGATTTTTCATTTTCCAGAACTGCTCTTCTTTTTACCTTCTGGAATGGCGCAAATATAATTAACTTTCTTGAATCCGTATTCTTCCTCAAAATAATTTTGACGAGGAAAAATTTCATCTTGCATTCTTTTACTGTCATTGAATGAATAAAATAAATGGTTTCTATGGAAACATATTTCAAGCATGCCATTGTTCAAGAACCATAGACCTTTTACAATTGGGATAGATTGAGACTTTCCATTTCTATATATACAGTTGAATTTACAATGAAAACAAATATATATTTAAATTGAGCCTTCAACAGATTGTACTGCTGCCAATTACTGATTTATGTCTTAAGCCATGATTACTTGTGGCTAGTTGGTGTGCAGGTTACTTGCCTCACGTAACTTGAAATGCATTAGAGGCATTCAAGTAACCTGCTTGCTTTACTGGTCTCGTGTAAATGTGGCTATAGGCCAATACCAACCTGTACATAATCAAGCCAATGCAAAAAGGTTTACTGCTAAACTATAAAGACTTTTGTTAGGATAGCTTGCTGGCCTACCTAAGTGGGTTTACTCAGGCTTAAGAAATACAAAAATATATTCCTTTATGCAAAGATATCTCTCTTCCCAACTCAAACAGCCTTTAGTTGAAAATACTATAAGAGTACCCATCAGATAAAGTGAAATTCTAATTTTGCCAAGTAATTTAAAGTTTTGGATTTGTTGTGAGGATAGCAGGGTTACTAGAATGGGAAAGAGAAAAAGGAGGATAGCAGCTAGCTTACCTTCAAAGTTTGTGTAGGCCATAGAACATGTAGAAAATACACTTTGCAGACTATTTTTTTGTCCCCTGAGGGACTTTGTCAAGTGTAGAGAAAGAGTTTACAAATTACAAAATTTGTACAGCATTTTTTAACATTTTAAAAATTACAGCATTAAATTTATTTGTTCCCAAAACAAATGGGTTTTTAGATTGCAGACCTAATCCCAATAACGCCACCTAAAATTAATTAGTGCAATTCAATCTTGTATTGTAGCGGCACATTTCTTGCTTTGCTTTATCCATTAAAAGAAGCCCATGCAGACGGACAAATGTAAGGTCAAAACATTTGTTTTTAGTAACCTAGAAAATTGACAAACAAAATGTACCGGTAATGTTTTTTTTATTTCCAGGATATTTACTCGCAAATGAAACAATGCTAAAGCACATGCCTAATGTCGCTCTTGCATTATTTCTTCTCTTGGAAAGATTCAGCAGTGAAGGCCCTTCGTTCTGGGCCCCATACTTGAACATGTTACCGTCCGCTTACACTACGGTCCTGTACTTCACTGCTCAAGAACTTCAGGAGCTCAAGGGGTCCCCTACACTAGGTATTGAGAAATACTGCCTCCGTTCAGAGAGGTTTTAATTGACTTACTTTCTAAATTGTTTAATTTATTTGATTTTTGCAATTTTCTTGCATATTTTATTTGTCTTACTTAATTTTATTTGTCTTAGTAATGTGGCAGATTTACAAATTAAGCAAGTCTGTGAAAAGGGAGGTTTTATTGATACTAAGTATTCATGATGGTATTCATTCAACTAGATATTAAGATTTAAAAAATGAAAAGCATGGTTTGTAAAATGTACATGGTATAGTTAGTGGATTCAGTTTTTTTAAATAGATCAAGATTGTTGTATAGGACAAGAAAATTTTAAGATATTGGTCTTTTTTAACTTTGAATATAGCTTTTTGCTTTTGTACTTTTGTCCCAAAACTCTATTCCATACAACCAATGCATGATGTGCTATCATTCTTGTTTGAGTCTGTTACAATTTGTTAGTTTTTGATTTTGATGCTTACAATAATGAATTTTTACGTAAGATAAATATATACTTTATACTATTCAATAGTCACCATCTGCAAAGTATCTCGATTATTAACCCTTTGAGGTAGAATTTTTCTCTGAGTATAGTATAGTTTGCCGTAAGATCAGTCGGGAAAATGGCAACCGGCGACCTATACTCGCATATTCAACTGCAAAAAAAACTTTTTTTTATTATTATTATAGGTCGCCATTTTTGAGCAGTCGGGAAAATGGCGGGCGGCGACCTATACTCACCATTCGACCGCAAAGGGTTAAGCCCTAAAAGTCTAGTCAAGTTAAAATAATTTCTCTTTCTCTTCTATTTTGCTATCTTTTGTTTCACATCTAACAAAATAATGAATATCAATAACGGGAAATTCTTGTAACGTTGATATGATGAAGCTCTGAGACAACTAATATTGTTATATGTTTCAGAGGGTGCTTTAAAACAGTGTAGAAACATTGCCCGGCAATATGCATACTTCTACAGACTGTTTCAGGTGTGTTGTCATTGAAAATGTTCACTCTTAGTTATACTTTTACCAAAACAAAACATAGAGCAGTGCCTGTGGTACGGTACACAGTGTGGTAAACGTGGTGATGTTTAAGTATTATACATCAGGATGTTTTGTGCTTTGTGCTGGTGCGTCAGCTTATCGGTTACTTTTTACAGTCGCTTTTTTACTTTTTTTTAGCGCCCCCATTCAGTGATTTATTTAGGAATTCATCAATTTTTAAATACAGTATTCCAGGGAAAGGTGGAAACTAAGTTAGTCGGTTTGCAAAATATTAAATAATACAGATATTCCACCCTAGTTAGATCAACGTGAATAAGTTGTACTTTTGACTACTAATCGGTATTTGAAGAAAACTGAACACACAGTTGAATTTAACCAGCGACAGAGTGTGCTGATGTAACTTGACAAACACACAAACTTTTTTTAACCAAGCTAAACAGAAAAGTAAATTTATTGAAAACTATAGCATCTTTATGTCACGTCAACTATCACAGTCACAAATACCCGGCAGCAGCAAACATGAAGTGAATTTCCATTTGACTGATTTGATTTTTACAAATCTATTGAAATAACATTAGTTGTAACAAGTACCTAGGTTTGCTGCTACAGGGAGGGTAATATAGTTAGTTTTTAGCGATATACAGATAGCTAAGTATAAAATAAATAAAATTGATCAAAATATATCTGTAAACAAGCAAACTACAATGTATTCCTTTATTCCCCATTAGAATAACATTGAAATTTTAAATTAAATTTTTGTGTGTGTAAATTAAATTAAAATTGTATTGAGCTTTCCCTGTAGCTAATAACCGTACAAACATTCCTCAAGATACAAAATATTTTCTTTTTTAAGCTCTTCAAAAAGGCTTGAAGATAAATAATTGGGAAGTTCTTTTTTTTTAGGGTAAAAAATGAGAAAACTCTAATTTTCCCAATAAACGTAAAATCATCATAAGGAAAAAGTAAATTGATCCCGTGTATAGGTCTTACCATGAGACCTACGGTAATAGCTTATTCCCTTTATGGGAAATTCACTGAAAACTAAGAAAGAAAATAGGATCCTAGACTGTATCAAACGCTATGAGTGGCTCTTTCAACAATGTACTTTTTTAATAAAGAAAATTGCTATAGTTGGTCCATATAATATGTGGGATTTCTTCTTTACTGCACAAAAATCAATGGTGGTATGCAAAAACTTTAATGTCTTGTAAAGTGGTACAATAAAAAAAGGTTTGGAAAGACTGAAATATAGAATTTAGCACGTTTAGCTAAACGTAATGGGATTCAGTCAGACCGAACATAAGGTTTGTTTTATTTTGACTTAATTCCTTTATGAAATGATTAACTTGAAACCAAATGTTTGTTAGTTTGGACTCTAAGGAAATTCCCCAATTAATGAAGGGCTAATGATGGTTTTCAGAACATGTCAGACCCTGCCAGTGAAATATTGAGGGAGGTTTTCACCTACGAGCAGTATCGGTAAGTTGAGCACATAATGTTCTACATTTTAATTTTACTTTAGAGAGTTAATGATCATTTACAATAGAGTACACCTATTCATCAAAATCAAGCATAATTCCTGTGCAAAAATACATCTTCTTTATCTCATAATTAACAATTAGGCCTGCTCTCGTAATTTGGACATCTGTTTTTAAAGAAACAACAACTTCGCTATAACAGCGGTTTTAATATACCTAGTATTCAAATTATTTTTTTCTGTTCTACTGCAGTAAATCCACAGTTAGTTCTCAATTGCTTTTCTAAAGTGACATCAGGGAGATTCCATCTTTTGCAGAGCAAGTCTAATCAAGACTAGTGTAAATGGGTGTTTGTCTACTTGTCAGTGCTTGTAGCTTATGAAAATACTCACTATAACCGCTAAGAACAGACTGCTTAAGCACCTCTACTCAGAAATTGGCAGATACCCACAAAAATAGTTTGCCAGTAGATAAATATTCGGCACTCATCGAATACTGCATGGCTGACCTGCCTTTAGTGTGAACTTTGGTGTAGTCACAATTTTTCCACTATAGGAAATCTCACCATCTCTTGGGTAAAACATGGGTCGACAAATTTATTGGAGTTTTGGAAAAACCAGAGTGGGAACTCTTCTCCCCCCCCCCCCCCCCCCCCCCCCCCCGGCATTCCTGTCCCTCTACACCACTGAGTGGGAACGAAAGAGAATCAGCTGATATTGAGGATATCAGCTGCTGTTGACCAATTTTTTTGCTTACAACGAAAATTTAAAATAGGTTAATAAGACGTGTGTGCAGATACCTGCGTTTAATGAATATAAGAATTTTTAAGGCTTATTATTGTTTGATGTTTTATTGTTGCCAACTCATTTTGCACTTATTGAAAAATTACTAAGCTTAAAGTGAAATTCCAAAGAATTATTCTTGCTAGGATGATGTGGTATTCAATTTTTTAGTAAGTTCTATGAAAAAACTTTTAAATTACCAACAGTTTTTTGTTTAAAGATTAAAAAAAAAAACCTCGTAGACAGGCTTAAGAGAAATTTTGACTATCAACACCCAAAAAAGGCCACATATCTTTTCCTCCAAACTAACCTTTAATTTGTGAAGTATTTAGTTAATACATTGAGCAGTAAGACAAAATATGTTTTATCACATAACCTCCAATTTTTTTTAAAATCTATATTGTTGTTTAGCTTGAGCATGGGTCACTTTCGGTCTAAGTGACAAAATGCATAAACAGTGTATACAAAAACTCACTAATTTTCGCTAAGTATTTTGGTTTTTGTTAGGGTTCTTTAGAACATGAAATGTATGGTAAGAAAAATAAACCATTTTAACAAAACTTATTTTAATACAAAAAATTCAACAATAATACAAATTTACATTCCTTATACTAGTTACATTTAAAGGAAATATATAATAGAATAAATAAGATAGAATACAGAGTGCTTATGTTTAACATTTGGCAGATTTCAAGTCATTTAAATGCTTCATATCCATTTATTATACATGCAACAAAGTCTTGTTCAAAAAAATTATGCAAAATAGTAAGAACCCAATAGTGTGAAACGATTCTTATTCTTTAATTTTTGGAAATAAACATCTTGTGTAGGATTCCGTTACGATAACTTAAAACTAAAGCTTATCTTAAGTATTGCACTTAACAGATCAGACTGTTGGAGGATCAATTTTTAAATCTATACATCTAGGGTCAAGGGTAATTTTTAAATCTATACATCTTGGTTCAAGGGTCATTTTCAAATCCATACATCTAGGTTCGAGGGTAATTTTATTCCAAAAATATTTTGGTGTCCTTCTTTAATAATTCAATTAATTCTAAAAATGTTATTATTCCCGTATGAAGACAATATTGTTTTATGAAAAATAAAAATATTAAATTATTGAAGGTAACATGGTTTTTTTAACCAGATTTAGACTTACACTTGTCACTAAATTAGTTGAAATTGTCCCCGAAATATGAAACCATCTATAGTTAATCGCTGCAATCATTTATGTTAGCAAAAAAACATTATAGCCCAAATAACTTTTACTCTAATTAATAAATAAAATTGTGTTCTCTCGTACTGTAGCCTAAAACTGTATGAAAATCGTATTTAAAGGGTAGAAAACTAAAATGACAAGCTACAATAAATAGCTGGCTACCATAGCTTATTAATATAAAAGATTACTCATCATTATTCCAGCCAACAAATTTTCTTTTTTTGAAATTACTCATGAAAACATTTTAGACCAGTTAATTTTGTAACAAGTTAAGCTGGGATATTTACCATTTACTGTACAAAAAATGAACTTTAATGTTTTTAAATTTAAAATACCTTTTCCCTTTTTCATCACTGTGTTCATAAGGCAAGGAGCAGGGATCAGTCACAGTGTAGACCTTTAGATACTGAAGTAGACATCCCATCTATAAACTAGTTGTATCAAATTTTTAATTCAAATATAAATAGTTGAATGAGTCACTCACAGAATGTGCTACTGTCTAAACTGGATCTTTTCCCTTAGTTTTTGAAACTAGAAACTATTACATTTGATTCAGCTTACAAGACGCTACAATTTAGAATAAGTTGTACTTTCAGTTTGCCTTAGTTAAAAATTTACATAGACATCAGTAATTGACATCTCCACACTCTGTATGAGGTTTTATTCAAATAAGTTCATTTAAAAACTAAAACTGGCTACAGGTTCAACTTGATAAATGGAATGTCTACTTCTATCATTAGTCAATTGTCTCAGTCATCAAAGGTTTTTGACTACTCGTACTGAAACGTTTTCCTCAGTGTCCTCCACAAGTAGTAGTGTCTGTTCGATGCAGTGTTTGACTGGATGGTGTGGTTGAACGGAGACTTGCGTAGAACAGGGGTCAAACTACGCTGACTGCCGCGGAGGTCTTCTGCCAGATGTTCACACAGGATATCTTGTCTGGCGCGTAGCCTCGCACGCCTCTGTCGGATCTTACAAGACACCAGGACTGCGAGGAACCCAAATATCGCCAAGCCGAGAAGCGCTCCGCTAGCAGCGATGGCGGATTTCACACTTTGAGGAACTTTTTTCGTCTCTGGGTAGTCCTCGTCTGTCATATCTCCGCTCTCTACATTATGTTTTCCTCCTAGAATGTGATTTCTGAGGTGATGAACTTCCTCGCCCTCGTCCAACAGAATTACGTCTTCTAAATCAGTTGGTTTTGGTGAGGATTTGGCAACCAAGAGAATTTCCTCACTTATTCCTGGGAACCCTTTGCTTTTTTCTGTTGATTTACTAACTGCGATCCTCCAGTCTGGGTATGGTGACATCTCTAAATCGTCTTTGTTTGATGTTTCCGAGTTGAATTTTGGCATACTTTCAAAAACTCTCGGCTCTCTTTTGTCGATTTCAGTTAGTTCTCGCGGTGTGTTGATTGACTCTCTAAATATAGGTACTTTTTCGATCGGTTGACTTGCTGTATTTTTCTTACCTGTAATATCACGCATGTACTTAGGGAATGCACCAAGAATACCGTCATCTGGGAATTGAATCGATGTATGAGTTGGTTGGAGTATGGGAACAGGTATTACAGTCCCCTCTACTTTTAACATTTTCCCCGATTTATTGCTTTCCTTTCGACTGGACATTATTTCACTTAATTCACTCATTAGATACTTAGCTTTTTCTACAATCATTGTTTCCGTCTTTTCTTCATCATTTGTTTCCTGTGTTGAAAAATCAGTTTCCCCTGAGATAAAATCGGAATCTGTTGGATTTTTCAAACTTTGTTCTCCTGTGGAGTTCTTATTTAGATGAACAAAAGCTGAAAAATGTCCAGCTCCTCTTTCTCTGTGAGCTATTAGTTCACTTAGTGTCATGTTTCTCAATTCTAAAATTCTTTTCACTCTAGCTTTACCCATTTCATCCATGATCAGCTCTAATATCTCGTCGTTGATATTCGTTACATTAACTCCATCTAATTTTAAATTTTCTGATTCTGTTGTCATCTCCAAGCTGCTTGCAGTAGACGGGGGCAGTGTTTGTGTTGAGGATGACAAAGTTGTAGCTTCTGTTGTAGTAGTAGTTGTGGTTGTCGAAGTTGCTTCTGTTTGCAATGCAGTTGTAAATTCTTCTGATTTGGCTTCTGTATTTGATAAGGTAGAGATATACGTCTGCAAATCTTCTTTTGTCTCACTACTTTCAATAGCATCAGCTGTTTGTTTGCTTCCTGTAGTATCTGGTAGTCCATTTTCGCTAAACTCAGGTGACCTCACTAGATTTGATGGCGTTATTACTATAAGATTGTCATCGGTTTGGTTAACACTATCTGAATCAGAAAACTCTGGTGCTTCCTTTAAACCTTCTTGTCCTTTATCAGGAGTTTGGGATATCTTTTGAATAAGCTCAGCTGTTGATAGAATTTCAGGCATAGTTGGGAAGCCAGATGGTAGAAGAGCGCTTGGTACTATATTGGTTAATAGAGAAGTTAGGTTAGGTTCACACTTGTCACCTTCACATGGTTTATCAGCATTGTTTGCTTGTGTAGGGTTTATCGTCGGTATGGTGTTGTCAATGGTAGAATCCTGTGTGGTTGTTGAATTTTTTAACTTTCTAGGCCGCAGTCTTCTTCGAATCACAGCTGATGTTGTAGGTAACCTTCTTGTTTTTGAGAATAAGTTATTCCTGTTCTCTATTATTTTTTCTATATTTTTAATATTTTGTTTGGGTTCACTTGTCGACTCAACTTTTCTCTTTTGCTTTTCCTCTTTCAGACCAAATTTTACTGTTGTTGCTATCGGAGTAGTGGTTTCTTCTGTAGTCGTTCTCGTCGGTCCTTTTGGATTAAATCTATTTATCCAGGCATAGTCCTTTGTTGTAGTCGAAGGATTGATAATGTGATTTTCTTCAATATTATGTGAAGTCAAATCAACACTGATAGATGTTTCCTCCTCTGGGTGGGGTAACTCTGTGAAAGGTGCCAACTTATGGTTTATTTCAGTAATTTCTTTGGGCGTGAAT